GGCTTGTACTGCTATGCCTAGCTGTGGTAGTTTTTAATGTTAGTGTTAATATCCTGTGCTTGCTTCATCAGTACATGTACTGAAATGTTAGTTTACTATATACAGTGTTATATTTATTTTTTAGTTGCCTTATTGATGTATAGTTCACCTACCATATAGTTCATTCAATATACTATACCTTTTAAAATATTTTAAGTCACTGTGCATGTTTGTGCACACCTGAAATCCCAGTACTCAAGAGTCTGAGGCAGGAGGATTGCCCTGAGTTTGAAGCCAGCCTGGGCTACATAGTAAATTCAAGACCAGCCTAAACTACTTAGTGAGACCTTGTCTCAACCTCTCCCCCCATAAAATATTTTAAAACAAATTCCATGTAAAATGAAGTGAGTTATTAGTTTTATTTAAAGTTTTAAAAGATTTTAGTTTTACTTAGGTAGCTGTGCTCATACTATGTGCAAAAAATTGTTTTAAACTATTTTGCATTTTTACAATATGTTTGCCTTTTAAAATAATGTCCAAGGGCTGGGGATTTTCTTCCACTGATTTTGCTCCATGTTGCCTGCCTCGCAAGCACAAGGTCCTGAGTTCAATCCCTGGTACCAAAACAATCAAACAAAAAACAAAAACAAAAAAAACTGTGCACCATTCCCATTTGACCAAGGTGGGAAATGAAGGTTAAGAGGAACATAGTGAACCACTGGGACTGAGACTATAATAATGAGTGGCAATAGCAAGATCAGCTGTTGGTAAATGTTGTCTATACCAGTGAAAACCAGTTATAAATTGATCATGGTGGCACACACCCATAATCCCAGCACTCTGAGAGGTTGAGGCAGGAGGATTGCAAATTTAGACCCTGCCTGAGTAACTTTGTGAGATCCTTTCTCAAAATAGAAAATATTTTTTAAAAGGGTTGGGGATGTAGCTCTGTTGCAAAGGCCCAGGGTTCAATGCCTTGTACCACAAAAACAAAACAACCAAAGTGATTGATAAGATTCTTTTTATTTTGGTACTGGGGATTGAACTGATTGAGATTCTTAAGAAACAGACTTTAAATATTATTTAGAGCCATGCATGGTGGCAGACACCTGTAATCCCAGCGCTCGGGAAGCTGGCAGGAGGATGGCAAATTCAAGGCTAGCCTGGATTAGATCCTGTTTCACTCACACACATACACACACACAATAACATGCCTGCCTGGCAAGTACAAGGTCTTGAGTACAATTCCTGGTACCCCCCCCAAAACCCCAATCAATCAATAACTAAATGTAGTTTATAGTCCACATTGTAGATTAGAATTATATAGGTATGAGCCACAGACTAGTGCTGGTCATGAACAAACTATTACTGGTCATTGACGAGTACAAGAATTAACAGAAAGCTTTTACAGACTTCTAGCAGTATAACATCACTGGTACATCCAAATGTGTGCTCATTTTTCTAGTAATTGATACTTACTTTTTAAAATTTTATTTATTTATTTTTTGGGTACTGGGAATTGAACTCTGGACCTTGTGCTTGGGAGTCATGCAGTGGCATCATTGAGCTAAATCCCTAGCTGATACTTATTTACTGATAAATTATTATTATACTTATTTACTGATAAATATTTTTTATAAAAGTTTGGTGACAAGTGGAATATTATAAAAAGCAGCACTATCAATCTTTTTTTTTTAAAAAATGAGTAAAATACAGAAATCTGAGAACCAGTGATTTTTGTCTCTGCTAGTCTAATCCCTCACCAGTGTCTGACAGTTACTAGTTGCCAAGTGCTATTTTAAATGTTTTATATACATTTACTGATTTAAGTCTTCATAGTAACACTATTGAGATAGGTACTATTATTATTCCCATTTTACCGGAAAGGAAACTGAGTCACAGAAAAATTTGGTATTCATGTAAGCTTACATAGCTGTAACTGATAAAGCTCCAGTTTGAACCTAAATCTGGCCATGTTCTTACTGTTATACTTTGCAGTCACTCTGCAGTCATTTTTTATAAACAAAAGTTTTTTTTTTTTTCTTTCTTCTTGTACTGAGGGTTGAAACCAGGACCTTTGTACTGAGCTACATCTCCAGCTCTTTTAACATTTTTGAAAGTGCCTTGCTGAGTTGCCCAGAATGGGTTCAAATTTGTGAGCCTCCTGGCCTTAGCCTTCCAAAGTGCTGGCCATTATAGGTGTTCTACCGTGTTTGTCCAGTTTTTAAAATTATGGTGAATTACCTTCCATAGTTCTCAAAAGGAGGGGTGCCACTGGTTGTTGGATAGTTCTTTGCATAGGATCCCTGCATGCCTGCCTGCCTGCCTGCCTTCCCCACTCACTGCATACTTTATTTCCCCAACCAATCATTGTAATATTTAAAAGAAACAAAGAAAAACTCTATTCCATTTCTAGATTCTCCATTGCTGAAAAATTTGTAAAGATGCAGAGCATACTAAGTAGTTGTGAAGTTCTTTTTTTCGGTATTGGGGATTGAACTCAAGACTTTCACACTGAGCTACATTCCCATACCCTTTTACTTTTATTTTTAATTTTGAGACAGGATCTAGCTGAGTTGCCCAAGCTAGGCTCAAACTTGTGATCCTCTTGCTTCAGCCCCCCGTAGTGCATCTTTTTTTTTCTTTAATAGGAATCTGCTTTCTAACGTCTTCTGATTGGTCTTATATCTGTATTTAGAAACTGTGAAAGACATCTTCCAGACCAAGCATCTGTTTGTGTGCTGATCTGCCTGTAAGATTTCTGGGACTTCCTTTTCCTTTTTGTTCTTGGATGGACATTTTGTGCTTCATAAAATGAGAATATATAGATCCTAGTAAAGCCATTTATTAGAGACTCTATATTTGAGTTATGTCTAATTTAGAATTGTTTTGGTAGTAAATCATACTGTTAAGCCTTTTGTTTAAAACCTTGAGGTCTTTGTCCTTTGACTGTTGAACTAGAAAACTAGAACTCCGTCATTCAGTTTTTGTTCAATTTAAGTTTTGAATCTTTTTTTTTTTGGTGGTACTGGGGTTTGAACTACCCAGGACCTTTGCAGTAGGCTACATTTCCAGATCTTCTAAAAATTCTTTAAACTTTTATTACTTATTTATTATTTCAAGTACTAGACATTGAATACAAGGCCTTTGCACTAAGCTGCAACCCCACACTTTTTTTTTTTTTTTTTTTTGGTACTGGGGATTGAACTTGGGTCCTTGCCCTTGCAAGGCAGGCCACTGAACTGCTGAGCTAAATCCCTGGCCCTGAATAACACTTTTAATTTTTTTTTTTGAGGCAGTGTCTTCCTAAGTCACTAGGGTCAGCCAGGGTTGGCTCAAATTTGAGATCCTCCCTTGGGTCAGCCTCCCGGAGTGCTGGAACTATAGGCGTGTACTACCACACTTGGCAAAATTTTGAATCCTAGTGTAAGATTGCATATGTACACCTATTTCTTTCTTTCTTTTTTTTTTTTGATGGCACTGGGGTTTGAACCCAGGGTCTCATGCATATTAGGCAAGCACTTTTCCTCTGAGCTAAGCCTCTAGCTTTTCCTCTTAAATAGAATTTTTATTTTGGCTCATTAATCTTCCTGAAGAGAGTTTGTTGTTGCATGTTGTGTCCCTTTGTCCTTTAATTCCGCCAATAATCCAGTAATTCCTCTTATTGTCTGTAAGGTTATTAAACATACCCTTTATATCTTTAGTCAAGTTACTGATTTAAATTTTGGGGGGCAGCTGGGAGTATAGCTTAGTGGTAGAACACTTGCCTAGCATGTGTAAGATCCTGGATTCAATCCCCAGTACTATAATAATAAGAATAATAAAAACAACTTCAGTAGGATTTGATGACATGTTTTTAGCTATTTATTTACATTTTGATGAAGATTCCTTAATCATTTTATTGTTTTTGTTTTGTATTTTGAGACCAGGTCTCCCAATGTAGTTCAGACTGGCCTTGAACTCAGTGTGTATCCTAGAACTTCCAGTGATCCTCTTGCCTGCCTCAGCCTCCTGAGTGCTGGGATTATAGGCGTTTGCCACCACACCCAGAATCACTTCGTTTTTTTTTTGGTACCTGGGACCGAATTTAGGACCTTGCGCTTTCGAGGCAGGTGGCGGAATCACTGAGCTATCACTTCATTTTTGACATTAAGCTAACCAACACTTCTACCTAATTCTCTAGTGGTATATACATGTATATGGTAGATTGGAATAATAGGTGTGTATTAATTTGTTTTCCGTTGCTACAGTAAAATTCCTGAGCCTGGGTACTTTAAAAAGAAAAGAGGCTTATTTAGCTCACAGCTTTGGAGATTAGTTAGCATAGTGCTGACTCTGATGATAGCCTCATAATACATATCATGGTGCAAGCAAATTTGAGGAAGGATCACATGGAAAGACAGAAAGCCAGAGAGCAGGGAGGGGCCAGACTTGCTCTTTCACAAGAACCACTCTTTCAAGTATTAATTTACTCTGAGAACTATATACATTAATTCTTTCTAAGGCCCCAAAGATCCAAACATTTTCCACTAGTTTCCACCTTTTGAAGGTTCTGTCTGTTACCTCTCAACATGCTCACTCACACTGGACACCAACTTTCTAACATATAAACCCCTGAGGATATACTCATATCAGCTATATCATAGCAAGGTAGGAAGAATCTGCTTGTAGATAATTGAATTTTCTACTTGAAGGTTCATTTTTTCCCCATACATCAGTTAGCACAGTAGTCTTAAGAAAAAAGCTTTTTCACTCTGAATTGTTCATAAATAGCTAAAGATATAAAATAAGTAGACATACAAATAAAGTATGATTTTATTTTTAAGTGTCTGTTGGTAAAGTCCTCTTGTATATTGAGTATTATTAGAGGAAAAGTGGATCATTTGGACCCAAAGTCCCATTAGGATTAAGGGAAGTTGTTTGGGATTGAACTTTATTTATTTTTTTCTTGTGAGTGCTGCCTCTTTTATTCACTTGAATTCATTCACTTAAGAAAAAGTTTAATTTTTTTTTTTTTTCAGCTTGCGGAACTAAAGCAAGAATGTCTTGCACGTGGTTTAGAGACCAAAGGAATAAAACAAGATCTTATCAACAGGCTTCAGGCATATCTTGAAGAGCATGGTGAGTACTCTGTAAAGTCAAGATGATGTGAGGGGAGCTGGGCATGGTATTGCACACCTAGAATCCCAGCACTGGGAGACTGAGGCAAGAGGATTGCCACAGGTTCAAGGCCAGCCCGAACCACTAGAGAGACCCTGTCTCTCAAAAACAGCAACATGGGGCTGGGATTTAGCTCAGTGGAACCATGCCTGCCTTAAAAGCGCAAGATCCTGAGTTCCATCCCCAGTACCCAAAAAAGAAAAACCCAGCAACATAAAAAAGGATGATGTGAGGGGATTAATTTTTAAGCTCTGGCACTTAGAAGATTTCTTCTAAGAAGCCTTCTTTTTAGATGATTGTTGATGTAAGCTTTTGATTAATAGTGTCTAGGAAACTCTTCTTGGTCATCCAAAATAGTGATTATACTACAAAGAAATACAGTAAAATCTTGGTTTGCAAGCATAATTTGTTCCAGAAACATGCTTGTAATCCAGAGTACTTGTATGGAAGTATGTCAAAACAAATTTCCCCTTTAGAAATAAAGGAAACTCAGATGATGTATTCCACACACTAAAAATAGTCATGTAAAAATGATTACAGTATTGAAATATAATACAAAATAATAAAAATAAATTTTGGTGCACTTTGAAAACCTTAGTAGGTGGTGTGAGGGAGACAGGAGGGTTATCGTGTAGAGCAACTTTCAACATCACTAATGGAATCATAACTCTATTGGCTCTGTGGCCTTTTGGGGTTATTTTGTTTGTTTTTAAACTTACTATTTGTTTACTTGAGGGTACTGGGAATCAAACTCAGGACCTTGCGCTTGCAAGACAGGCAGCACCACTGAGCTAAATGTTGGGCCCCTTGTTTTTTTGAGACAGGGTCCCACTATGTAGTTCAGGCTGGCCTTGAACTCAACGGTGATCTCTCTGCCTCAGCCTCCCACAAGCTGGAGATTACAGGTGTATACCACCACACCTAGGTCTGTTTTCCTGTAACTTTAGCAAAGAACCTGTCCAAGTGACACTTGCTTTAGCCTTCTTTGGACGATTTCTGGGAAATAAGATATTACACTCTCATTAAATAGATACATTGCTTGCCCTGCTACAACCTTATTTGGATGGTGCTTTTCTACAAAATTTTGCAGTTTCCCCACATTTTATACATCTCCCTAATCTCATGTGAGGGATTCTTCTGCCCCCGCCCTTTTTGGTACTGGGGGTAGAACTTGGGTCCCTGTGCTTGCAAGGCAGGCTGCGGCACCACTGAGCTAAATCCCCAGCCCTCTTCTGCCTTTTTTAATCCTCCTATACAGATGATATTTCCATAAACTTGCTGTTGGGAGATTATCACTCACAATCCAGCAGTGGGGAGGGGGTGTCGGGGGAGGAGAGAGATACAGAGTCGGGGGTGGGAGAAGAACCAGTGGCTCAATTGTGGTCATGTGACATTTGGCGTCACTACTACTTGTGTTGGAAGATGTTGCTTGTTTTTTCAAGTTGAGATTTATGAGAAATGTTTGCTCATCTTGTGGAATCCTCTCAGGACAAGTTTCTCACAATCCAAGGTTTAACTGTACTCCCTTTTCTAAAAGACATAGATTTAACTCAGATTTTTTGTGTGTATGTTTGTTTTTGTTTCTTAAAGGGTCTTACCATGTTGTTCAGGCTGGCCTTGAATATTTCAGTATGTTATTTAAAAGTTAGCAAGGTACTACAAATAACATTGAGCTGATAGTTGGAAGACTTACGTTTTACACTTAGTTTTGGTTGTTTTTATGGTACTGGGAATTACACGCAGGTTCTTGTGCATGGTAGGCATATGCTGTGCTACTTGAGCTACATCCCCAGCCTGGAAGGTTTAAATTGTAATTCCCTTTATGCTAGAAATATATTAGGTAATTTCAGTCAGTAACTGTTTACATAGCTAAATGTCTGTTCTTATGGCATGAGACAAATATCTGGACCCTTGAAATCTATAAACTAATAATAATCTCTGGTCCTTTCAGGTCTGATGTTCTTTAGTTCTGCCTTTTAAAAAATAAAACAAACTGAGCACAGTGGTACATGCCTGAAATCCCAGCTGCTTGGGAAGCTGAGGCAAGAGGATTATGAGTTTAAAGCCAGCCTGAGCAATTTAATAAAACCCTGTCTCAAAAATAATAAAAGGCTCAGGCTTTAGTTTAGTGCTAGAGTACTTGCCTAGCACATGTGTGGCCCCTAGGTGTAATCCCTAGTACCATGAAAGAAATAAAAAAAGAAAAACCCCAGTTTTATTAAGATATATTATCATTCTGGATTGAACAAATCCCTTCTCTAATTTTTATTTATTTTTGTTGCCATTCCTCATTTCACTTCCAACACCCTTAAGGATCCATTCTAATCATGGTTTTTTTGTGTGTTTTCAGCTCTTTTTAAAATTTTTTTATCTGAGACAGAATCTTGCTAACTTACACAGGCAAGGCTCAAACTTCAGTCTCTTAGAGTGCTAGGATTACAGGTGTGTACCACCATGCTCAGTTTCAATGAGTTTCATTTATTTATTTATTTTATACTGGGGATTGAACTTGGGTCTTGTGCTTGGCACCACTGACCTAAATCCCTGGCCCTTATATGTAGTTTTTGTCTTAATTCCTATAAGCCATATAGTGTTTGGTATGGTGTTTTCATTTATATAATTGGTAACTAGGCCATAACCTTAATTATTTCTCACTTTTTTACTAAATATTGTGTTTTTCTTTTAATTTGTATCTATATGATCATCTAGTTTATTGCAGTTCTTCATAGCATTCTACACATTGTGGTCCAAGTATGTGGTATTTAAATTTTTAAAAATGTTTTACATTGAGAGACACATTGCCACTAATCACCCCCTCAAAGGACCCCCCCTCACCTTTGCTTCAAACATACTTATGCCATTGTTGTTGCTACTTTCTGAAGTAGTTCTGGAAGCCATCTTTTGTGAATGTCTTTAGGAGGTGTGATAAAAAATGTGGTGAGTGGGCTGGGGATTTAGCTCAGTGGTTCTGACACCTGCCTCGCAAGCTCAAGGACCCAAATGCGATCCCTGGTACCAAAAAAACAAAAACAAAACAAAACAAAAAAATGTGGTGAATGATGTTGCTGCATGACATCCAATGGAAAGGCAGGCTTGTAAAAGCATTATAGTGTGTCCTCATTACCTTACTTACCACATGTGGCACCTTGTGACTTCTGGCTCTTTCCCAAAGTCAAAATGACCATGAAAGATTAGCATTTTGAATCCATTCAAGACATTGAGGCAGCCGTGACAGTATAACAAAAGACATGAAAGACTTCCAGAACTGCTTCAAAAAGGCATAAATGATGGGATAAGTGTGTTCAAAGTCAGAGGAATTTTGGGGGGTGGTTAATGGCAGTGTGTCTTTTACTATAAAACATTTTTTAATCATTCACTGTATTTGCTGATCACGTGACATAGACACAGTAATACCTCACTTCACAAACACTTCTATTTGCAAGCAGTTTGGGTTACAAACAAGTCTTTGGCAGAATTTTGCTTCTATTTGCAAACTCTTCATGGAATGGCAAATATGTCCATGTCCATCTTCTCCACACAAACACAAATGCAGATATCTTCCCCAAAATCGTAAAACAAGTTAATAAACGGAGGTACCGCACCTCATTTTATAATTCATCCAGTGGCAGACACCTGTATTAACTCCAAGGCCCAGCTACTCTAAGATAAGTAGTACTACTACTTATAGTGATAATATATGTAATCCAATACCTTTGTATTAATATACAGTATACCAATAATATATGTGTATGTAATATACTATTGGTATATAAACTATATACTATACTATTAATATACAATATTCTGACTTGCTTTTATTCCCTTATGTTCTTGTGAGAGTCTTTCTGGGCATACACCTTGGAATGGGATGGGTAGTTACTATATGTTCATATGTGTATACATAGTTAATATGACAATACTTCCAAATTGCTGTGCAGGATTTCCTTTATTAATTAATATATTAATTTTTTTTTTAACCGGGTATTGAACTTGGGTCCTTGCATTTGCGAGGCGGGTGGCACCACCACTGAGCTAAATCCCCAGCCCAATCTTTGCTTTTATTTATTTATTTATTTGGTACCGGGAATTGAACTTGAGTCCTTGCGCTTGCAAGGCAGGCCTCCAAACCACTCAGCTAAATCCCTGGCCCCAATTTTTGGTTTTTTAAGACAAGGTCTCACCGTGTAGTTCAGGCTGGTCTTCAGACTCGCTATGTAGCCCAGGCTGACCTCAAACTTGAGGTAGTCCTCCTGCCTCAGCCTCCCAAGTACTGGGATCACTGGCATGTTCACCATGTCTGGCTCAAGGTTTCCCTTTAAATATTCATTTATATCACTAGTGCATCAAGTTTTTTATGTCTCCACAAACATAAATCTGGCAGTATCCTATCAAGTGGTCTGTTTTTACTAATTTGTTGTTTTAACTTATTTTTTTCTGTGAAAATATTTTTTTGTTGTTCATGGTTCTTTGCCCAGTTTTCTCCTGATTCTCATCATTCACTTAACAGTATCTAGGCTTTTTTTTTTTTCCTTCAATTTTAGCAATTATTTCCTTGTCCTTCTTGGTGTTTTTTGGTTTTTGTTTTTGAGACAGAGTCTCACTATGTAGACCAGGTTGGCTTTGAATTTGTGGCAATGCTCAAGTGCCTCAGCCTCCTGAGTGCTGGGATTACAGGCGTGCACAAACCCGGTGACCTTATTTCTTAAACAGATCCTTTCCCATTGCTAAATCTCAGATATTTTTCCATATTACTTTTTAAATTAATTTTGTAATGTGACCTCATCACACTTAGTTTTTCATTCCAAATGGAATTCAGCTTTGTACTAATATTAGATAGAAATTTGGTTTTTGTCTTCTTCAAATGTAGTGATTTTCTGTTCTACCTTCATTATTGATACTTTTGAATTATGATTTTAGCCTTAGCACAGTGATCAGTATGGTTTTATAGCAAGAGTTGACCTAACTATTTTAATGTTCTTTAGCCGAAGAGGAGGCAAATGAAGAAGATGTACTGGGAGATGAAACAGAGGTGAGTTGGAAAAAGTAACGTTAGTCACTGTCTTGACAATGTGCCATTGCCTTGACCATGCTTAACATTGATCATAAAACTGCTTAGATGCTAATCTATTAGGGAAGTCTAAGAGGGGAATGAAAATTTTGAGAGACTGGTCAGTTTTGGAGGTCTGATAATCTTATATAGATGAGCATACTTTTTTTAAAAATTAGGGTCTCACTGTGTATCCCAGACTGGTCTCGAACTTGCAGTCCTCCTGCCTCAGCCTCCTGAGTGCTGGGAGATGAGTATTTACCCTTTGATTTTATGTTAACCTTGTTGTTTCATTTGGTTTTAGGAAGAAGAAACAAAGCCCATAGAACTGCCTGTCAAAGAGGAAGAACCCCCTGAAAAAACTGTTGATGTGTAATTATGTTTTTTAAAAAAATAATCTGAATACAGAGCAGATAGTTCTTTTCCCTGGGTTTAAAGTTCACTTTGTTGTACCTTTATTCCCGTTGATCTTTTAAATTTCTGATTAAACCATACATTTTCAGAAGTGTCTACTTTAATAACATGGTCCCAGTAAAGCAAAGTAGTTTGTCTCCAAATTTTGTAGTAGGTAATTAGAAACAGATGACTTCAGCCCAGGCACAGTTTAGTTTTCCTAGCCTTTGTTCTTTTGGAGGATCACCATAATAGATTATTCTGTTAGAATCTGTATGATTCTCTGTACTATAAACTCTACTAAATTCTGTAAACTGTTGTCTTTACAGCAAAGTGTGAAACTGTATATAGTTTTATAAGAGGAGTGTTATGAGGTACAGGTTATGTCTCTTACATAACCTCGTATCTGTATTCTTTCTTGCTTTTTGGTTTATAGTGGAGGAGGGAGGACAGTATCAGAGTGGAAAGTGGATCTCTGTTTACTTGAGCTATCTCACAAAGTTAATGTTAAACATCATTTATTTGGGGCTCTTTCCACAAATGTCTTGACTGTTTTGTATGTCAGCCAATTAAGAGCAATTGAGTACTTCTTGACATCTTTGTTCCTTTCAGCAGTATTAAATGCATTTAATTATAAAAAGCAATGTATATAAAAGTCATTTGGTACATAGAGGACTATATAAATTGAAAATTAAGTGCTTCTTATGTCTGTCTCCATCAGATTTTCCAGGGATTTTTTTCCCCCCAGAGATTTTTTTTTTTAGTGGATTCTTTTTGGGATATTTAACATGGTTTTGTGTGTGTGTTTTCATGTAATTTCTTCTTTTTTTTTTTTTCCCCCCTCTTGGTACTTTGGGTTTGAACCTAAGCTCTCCCATATGCCAAGCAAGAACTCTACCACTGAGCCATATTCCCAGCCCTTTTTGTGTTTTTATTTGTTTATTTTGTGTTTTGGTGGTTTGTTTTGTTTTGGGTACTGGCAGTCAAACTCTGGTCCTTGTGCTTGTGAGGCAGACTGCGGAACCACTGAGCTAAATCTCTGACCCCCTTTTTGTGTTTTGTAGTTTTTCAAATTTTTATTTTTTTGGAAACAATGTCTCACTTTGTATCCTAGGCTGGCCTTGAACTCAGCAGGTAGTCCAAGAGGGTTTTGAATTTGTGGCAATCCTCCAGTCCCAGCCCTTCGGAGGCTGGGATTACAAGACACCATGTGACACCATGCCTGGCTCCAGCTCTTTGCAGTTTTTACTTTGAAGAGGATTTCATTATTTCATGCAAGCTAGTCTGAAACTTGTGACTTTCCTGCCTCAGCCTTTGGAATAGCTGGATGTGCAGCAGCACCATTCCAGGCTAGGACTTTATTCTTTTTAGAAGTTAATACTATGGGTCGGGGATTTAGCTCAGTGGTTCCGCCGCCTGCCTTGCAATCATAAGGGCCCAAATTCGATCCCCAGTACCAAAAAAAAAAAAAGTACATAAAGAAGAAGTTAATAACACTAGGACCGGGGGTTTAGCTCAGTGGCTCCACCGCCTGCCTCATATGTGCAAGAACCCAAGTTCAATCCCTGGTATCAAAAAGAAGATGAAGAAGAGAAAGAGGAAAAAGAAGAAGAAAATAACACTGATTTCTGTAGAAAAACAGTAGTTCATTTCACCAGTCTTTTGTTTGTAGACATTCAGATTACTCATCAAAACAAAACAAAACAAAAAAAAAACTGTAGTATGTCCTTATCCAACTATCTTTATACTTAAGCAGTATGACAATACAAAAACTTCCTAGCATGAGATTTGCTGTATCACTGTGAACATTGAACATTTTGATTGATTTTTGTCAAGTATTATTTTGTAAAGTCATCATGTTTATTATTATTTTAAACTTTTTTGTTGTTAGGGATTGAAATCAGGGTCTCATGCATGTTAAGCAGCTGCTATACCAATAAACTATATTCCTAGCCCCTGTTCTAGGTTTACAATTCAGTATAGTGCAGTGGGAAAATGAATTGTTGTGAAAGCTTTAAGACGTGTGGCTGGGCATGATGGCACACATCTGTAACCCCAGCCCTCCAGATGCTGAGGCAGCGTGTTACATGAGTTTGCAGCTAGACTAGGCTGAATAGTAAGACTCTCAAAAGACCAAAACAAATAGAATATAATGATAATTTGCTTGTTTGGGTTAAAAATTAATGAGGTTTGAAAATCTATAGAAGTTGATTATGCTTTGCATATATGAAATTTGTAATTCTTATTCAGGGGGTTTTAATTTTATTGATGAATTTTGAAACAAAAAAATGCAAAGCATGTGGAGGTGATAATTTTGGTTTTTAGAGGTATGGTTGTAGTAGTTAGACTAGATATGTTCAGAGAGTCTGGGTCCTTGTAGTTTGGAGAGTATATTTTGTATGTAACTGGGTGTGAGAAAATACTGTCAGTGGAGTAGAAATTTCCCACAAGTCCCAGAATATGGTATGTATTTATTTCTTGAGTTTAATTTTGCCTTAGAGGATTGGAATCTGGTGGAAAGAAGCTTCCTCTCTTGGATTCCTTTTTTGCCATGAAGTCTACTTCAGTGATTGTGTTTCAGGATGAGAATGTGGAGGAAGTCATTACCTGGGATTGATGGAGAGGACTGCTTTCTTAATGACATTGGACTTCAAGTAAAACATTAAACTTCTGAGCCTTTTTTTGCCCAGAGAAGGCTGGGGAAGGCTAGGAAGTGTATATAGAGGTTTCTTTAAAAGTTAGAATGTTCAGGCCTGATTTAGGTCCTTTGAATATTCAAAAGGTAATTTCCTTGCTTAATCTTTGGCCTGAAGTTGTGCACAAACATGTCTGTTTCTGGTTTGGTTTTTTTCCTCCTCGAGGCAAGATAGTTACATATTGTAGGACTTAGTTATGGTCAGCAGGGGGCACCCATTGCTTGACTGTCCAGGGACCTCCAACAAAAGAATGCAGAGCGTAAGTTCCTGTTCCAAAATTGCTTCCTCTGAAAATGTCATTAAACCATTACTACCTTTCAGGTCATCAAATGGAAAAGTGTCTGGGATATTGGAACAAAAGCTACCCATGTCTCCAAATGAGGGACCTTAATGAGACTGGTTATGACCCACAGTTTTATGAGAGTTGTTTGGTGTAGAGTTAATACCCTTCCATTTATTCTGGGTACTTCCGAACTTTGTCTCCCACCCCTATGGTCTCTTTTGTTTCGTCCTAAGCCTTTTGACCAGTAACTTACCATGTTTTCTGATTTCAGACCCCCCCCTTGTACCTTTTTCCAACTCCCTTTGGCATTTTTATTTGTTCTACTTTGACTGTTTCAGCTAAGAGCTACAGTTCTGGTGAGAGAAATAAGGGTTTTGTAAGACAAGGAAGTCAGAGTTTGCAGAGCATTCATTAAATGTTATTGTGATGAAAATTGAGAGTTGAAAGGATAGTTATTGGTCTAAAAGTAAATTTAAAGTTTCTAAAAGCCAATGAAATGATTTCTGGTATCCTTTGTATGTTTCTCTTCAGCCCTGTATATTTAACCAGGCTTCTTTCTTGATTACTTTCTTATACCTTAGCAAAAGTAGTTTACTATTATTTGAACTCATCTTAGTAGATGACAGTTCAGGAAACTAGAATTCTAATGGACTTCATGTTTCCTTGGATTAAAGGATAGCAGAGGGAGGCAGAAGATAAGACTTAAGTGAATTCTAATACATTTCTAAGGTTTTGGCTTAGAATATCACTTTACTGATTTTTAAAAATCTTTTCCAGGGCAGCAGAGAAGAAAGTGGTAAAAATTACATCTGAGATGCCACAGACTGAGGTATGTGCTTTGTGCCTTAATAGAATATTTCTATTTCTTACCCTTTATTCTGTCTGCATCATCATTTAAAATTTTTTATTTGTAGACCAAAAACAAAAAACTGACAAATTTTGGTGTTTATTTCCCTATCAGCTACCCTTAAGAAAATATTTGGGTTGGGTGTGGTGGTGCAAGCCTGTAATCCCAGAACTCAGGAGGCTGAGGCAGGAGGATAGCCGTGAATTTGAGGCCAGCCTGGGCTACATAGTGAGTTCAGGGCCAGTCTGAATTACAAAGGGAGATCCTGCCTCAAAAAACCAAAAAAGAAAAAAGGAAAGAAGGAAAAAAAGGAAGAAAATATTTGGACTACCTTTGAAGCTGTAGTCTTTTTGTGTATAATTCTATAGTCATAGTGGTAACTCTTAATATGTTTACAAATCTAGGTTAGTTGGAGTGAATTGTGCCATTGAAAAGTAACATTGATAGATACCCTTAAATTGTTACTTGCTAGCAGATGAGATTCAAATTTATTTGAATTTTGTTTTGAGATATTTGAAACTAGGTTTCAGTTCAGATCTTGTGCTCAGTTTTGTACTTTCAGAGTAGAGAGTCATTGGACTCTTAGAATACTTTGAGACAATGCTGCCTCATTTCTAATTCAAAGAAGTCACTAATGTTAAGGCAAAGTTTGTCTCTTTTCAAAGGTCAACCATAGTTTTTTTGTTCTTGGCTTCGCTATAAAGTAGGTTTTATTTTATGTCCCTCTTCTCCCCACTCCCTTTGTTTTTGAAGGCATGAATTTGGTGGTTTTTTTTGTGTGTGCTTTCTGGAAAACAGCTGTTACATTTAGCCCTGGGCTGGACCCACCTGATAGCTTCTAGAATTGTCAGTATTTTTAGTCTAGACCTTCAGAAATTACTCTGGCTGAGTGTGGTAGCACATACTGTCCTCCTAGTACTATGGGAGGCACAGGCAGGAGAATCAGTCGTTTGAGCCCAGTAAGGCAACTCATGAGACCTGTCTAAAAAATTTTAAAAAGCTAGGGTTGCAGCTCAATTCAAAGGCTCTGGATTTAATCCTTAGTTATCCCCCACCTCCCCAAGAAAAGGAAAAAAAGACAAGAAAAAACATTACTGTTGTTAAGGTATCACCTCTAATGAACTTTTGTTTTTTAAACCAGAAATTGAATTTATCTCTTCTTTTTTTGTCTGTTACCACTTAGAGAATGCAAAAGAGGGCTGAACGATTCAATGTACCTGTGAGCTTGGAAAGTAAGAAAGCTGCTCGGGCAGCTAGGTGAGTGTCTCCAGCCTGTTGGACCTGTGATAGCGATGGTATAAAGGTGTGCAGATGTGATCCTATATCTAGATTTTGAATATAATTACTGATTTTCAGTAGAATAGTGGCCATGCTGAAAGGAAATAAACATTTTTTTACCCTATTCACATCTCTGGTGATATGGTAGGGGAGATATAGAATAGGTTTTATTATTAAATAGAATTTTTGTAATAGTTGAAAGTCAGAGGGCTGGAGATTTAGCTTAGTTGCACCTTGCCTGCCTTGCAAGCAGAGGGTCCTGAGTTCAATCCCAGGTACCGGAAAAAAGTTGAAAGTCAGGAATTGACTGCTGCTTCTCATTCTGATAAGGCTTTCTTGTTGCTTATTCTCTGAACTTTCAGTAAGAGCAAGAGTGAACCTCTTTCATGAGGTTGTTAGAATTAGCTAATGATTGCCAAGCTTGAGATCACAAGCATGAAGTGTCATATGTATACTTGACACGGAGACAGACAATCAAGAGTGTGAACAGCTTCCTAAATTTTAACTTCTTTTTTCTTCTTACAGGTTTGGGATTTCTTCAGTTCCAACAAAAGGTAAGAATACACACATTCTTCTGAGACATTTATCTTTTTCTTTCTTTTCTGACAACATTTCATTTCTTCAAATTAAGACAAATTTGTTAGGTCTAGAAGCTTTTAGGTTATAGCATTTGCCTTTTTGCTTTTTTTTTTTTTTTTTTTTTTTTTTTGTACTAGGGTTCAAATTTAGGACCTTGCGCTTTTGAGGTAGATGTGGCGCCACTGAGTTAAATTCTGGCTCTGCATTTTTGCTTTGAGCAAAGTCACATTTAAACCTTCCTGGGAAATTAAGAGACGGTTCTGAAATTATAATAGGAGGAGGTGCAAATATTTGTCTTCCTTGGACATCTTCACAGAAGTTTCTAGTACCTTGCTTATTCTAGTGTTTTATCAGCATAAAAATTTTTTTTCTTTTGGAGACACAGGGTCTTGCTATGTGGTTTAGGCTGGCCTTGCACTCACCTATGTATCCCAGACTGGCCTCCAATTCATGGCAGCCCTCCTGCCTCAGCCTACTTAGTGCTAGGACTATAGGCATGTGCCACCACCATGCCCCGCTGCATAAAATATTATGTACCTATTTAGTGTTGTGGGTGAGTATAAGTGGTAAAGGGGAAAGAATACCTTTTAACTTAACAGTTTTACTTCAGAAACTTACAAGGGAATAACTTTGGATGTACTTAAATGCTTAGCCATGACGATTGTCACAGCATTATTTATAGTCATCAATAACTGGAAACAACCAAATGTACAATACAGAATTGGTTAAATAAATGTGTACCATAATATAGTAGATTATACTATCTTAAGAAATGATATTTGTCAGAAATAAGTGAAAAAGTTTTCAAAGTTATACTAACAGATATGTTCCCATTTTATTCATAAAAGTGTGCATGTAAGGATAGGGTAAAAAGATTTGAAGGACATATACTAAATTCTTAGTACTGAATATCTCAGGTAGAATTTAGAGTGACTTCTTTTTATGTTTTTAAAATCTTTTCAGTAGATATGTATTATTATTATTATTATTTTTTTTTATTTTTTTTGGTACCGGGGATTGAACTTGCTGCCAAGGCAGGCGATTGAGACACTGAGCCAAACCCCGAGCCTGATATGTTGATTTTTTTGTTTGTTTGTTTTTTTTTTTTTGGTACCAGGGATCAAACTTGGGTCCTTACACTTGCAAAGCAGGTGGTGGAACCACTGAGCTAAATCCCTGGCCTGATATGTATTATTTTGTTCCCCCCCCCCGATATGTATTATTTTGTAATTAAGGGACACAATTACTATTTTAAAAAAAAGAACTTAGCATCCTGGCTTATTGGCACATGCCTGTAGGATTGCTGGTTCAAGCCCAGCTTGCACAATTTAGCAACTTGAGACTCTGTCTCAAAATAAAAAAGGGCTGAGGATATAGCTCAGTACAAAGGTCCTGGGTTTAAAATCCAGGACTGCACCGGGTGTGGTGGTGCACGCCTGTAATCAATCCCAGCACTGGGGAGGCTGAGGCATGAGGATCACTGTGAGTTTGAGACCAGCCCGGGCTACAAGGTGAGTTCCAAGTCAGTCTGAACTACATAGTGAGACCCTGTCTCAAAAAAAAAAAATCCAGGACTGCAAAACAAAACAAAATTTAAAACAAAAATCGTAGCCCATGTTCTGGATTAACAATTTAAATATTATCTCCTAATCTAACCTGGTCTTCCTAGTTACCTGTCAGTTTTGTGTGTTGAGAAAATATCCCCCAATTATTTTGTAGTGTTTTTTGGTTTGGTGGTTGGTTTTTTGAGACAGAGGGTCTCCCTGTGTAATCCATATGGGTCATGAACTTGCAGAGATCCTCCTGCCTCAGCTTTCCAAGTGCTGGGATTATAGGTATGTTCCACCACACCCAGCAATCTGAGAGAGTTGTAATTGAAGATTGAACCTAAGACCTTTGCACTGAGCTGCACAACACTCTCTACCCCTTCCTGTTTCTTTTGAGATAGGGGCTCAATAAGTTGCCCACGCTGGGTTTGAACTTGTTTTCCTCCTGCCTGAGCCTCCCAGTGTCCTAGGGCAACAGTCATGCTTTTCTAAAATGAAATTTTGGAAAATATGAAATAAATAATTACTGATGAGGTTAGGATTAGGCCTGAAAGCTTATTTACTACTTGCTTTTTTATTTTTATTGATTTAATTTTGAGACAAAGTCTCACTGTAGTTCAGGCTCATTGTGTAGTCCCTGAACTCACAGTGATCCTCCTATCTCAGCCTCCCAAGTGCTAGGATTATAAGTGCACACCATGCCTGGCTGTTTTCACATTTTATGTACTTTTGTGTATAAGGTTTTCTGTTTTGTTTTTGAGACAGGGTCTCACTGTGTAGTTCCAGATGTCCCTGAACTCACTGTGTAGCCCAGGCTGGGCTCAAACTCTGATTGATCCTTCTGTCTCAGCCTTCCTAGTATTGGGATTACAGGCATGTACCACCATGCCCAGCTTTTAAATTTTTGTATGGATGTTATGTTTTCATTTCTCTTGGCCCTGTATATCTAGCAGAATTGCTAGGTCATATGGTAGCTGTGTTTAACTTTAAGAAACAGAAAACAGCCACATGTTCACAACAGTGAATGCAGGTATGATATCTAGATGTGCTTTCTGCCCCTTTTTATTATCATAAGACAAAGGCTCTTTGTCACATGAACTGTTTTTATGCAATTCTAATTTGATTAGAAGACTGTTGAATTCCTTTATGACTGAAAAATATTAAGTAAAACTTTTTTATTTGTTTTCTTAGGTCTGTCATCTGACACCAAGCCTATGGTATGAAATCTTTTTTTTTTTCCTCCTTACAGAGCCAGATAATAACTCTATACAGTTAGTTTTAAAGTTAGAGACTCCTCTTTCTCCCGAGTAGTGTGGAACATTTGAAAATGTCAGAACTACAACAGAGGGAACTCTTTAAGTCATGAGTTTGGTAACTATTTTCAGTATAATATTATATGTCCTGAATTTAAAACAAGAAATTATTTTGAGATATAGAGATCAGAAAAATTGCCACATACTCACTTATTACAGACATCTTCCATTCTACCATATCTCTTTGAAACTATGACTAGATTTTGTTAGCTAAAGGACGGTCCTTTTGTACTGTAATTTTAGTCCTTGTCTGATGGCTTTTTTTTATGTATTTTGTGGTACTGAGGGTTGAACCCACAACCAGGCAAGAGCACTACCACTGAGCTATATCCCCAGCCCCTCCAGTGGCTTTAAATAATTACCATAAGAGGTTCAATAGAGGCAATTTATGAGTTCTATTTGTAGATACTTTTTTTTTAAACATTACTTATTAAATATAAAAGTCACAGACTAGAGAATGATAGAATGTCCTGGGCTGTTGTGACTAGTGTGCTTTTTAGAAAATGGAAATGTGTGGTAGAGTACGTTCGGCCTTATTAAATCCTGATTTTGGGGATACTGTTTAGTATTTTAAGTGAAGTTGAAATACTTCATTACTGTTGTCACTAATTAAAATATGCTAAGTCTTGGACCAGGGATTTAGCTCAGTGGTTCGGTGGCCTGCCTTGCAAAGGCAAGGACCCAAGTTCAATCCCTGGTACCAAAAAAAAGCTAAGCCTTATAATTATAAGTCTTATATACCCAGGCTTCCAAGAAAAGGAAGGGAAGAGAATTGAACTGAGTAGTTGTGGTGCATTTGAAAATGGGAGCATCACAACAGTGTTTGTCTTTACTTGAAGGTAGAGTTAAGGTAGAACTTAACATGCCCTGCATAATTTGGTCTTAAACCGTCCTGAGGCTCTTGCCACCTGTGATGAATGAAGGAGACAAGGCTAAGTCAGTGCATTTCAGAAAAGACCTTTTAATAATCTGTGAAATGGATTTGTACTATTCAGTTTTTGAGTTTGAAACATAGCTGTCTTTGATGTTGTGATCTCATATGAACTCTTAGCTTTAGACTATGTTTCTGCCTTCTCTATTTTCTAAATTAATTAATTAATTAATTATTTTGGAACTGGAAATTGAACTCAGGGCCTAGCACTTGCCAGGCAGGCGCTATGCCACTGAGCTATATCCCAGGCCCATCTTCTTTGATTTTTAAATGTATTCCTATGTTTTTATAGGTTAATCTGGATAAGCTAAAGGAAAGAGCACAAAGATTTGGCTTGAATGTCTCTTCAATCTCTAGAAAGGTAATGTAGATTGGATGAAAGTGCTGTTTTTGCAATACTAGAACAGCTTGGGGGATTGTCATAGATTGGAAATAACACTCCTTGGAATGTGGCTGGCTATTCAGTCTTTCGTTTCTCATAGTCTTTTGAATACTTGGATCATCTTTTCTCTCTGACTGTTAATTACATTATAGGTACTGTTTCACAAGCTAATTATTTTGTTCTGTAGTGCTTTCACCCAGGCCATTAAAGCATAGTTTATATTTCTCTTGGTTAAGATGTTGAATACAGGCTGGGGATTTAGCTCAGTGGTTCTCCTGCCTGCCTTGCAAGTGCAAGGACCCAAATTTGATCCCCAGTATCCCCCCACAAAAGATGTTGAATACAGTAATGTTAAAACTTAACTACATATACTTTAACTTCTGATATAGATATAGGCATAAGGAAAATTAGATAAAAGGCAGTCCTGTCTTCAGGTCAGTGGTGCCTAGAAACAATTTGAAGTTAGGTAAAACACATATAAGAAAAGTCTTTCATTCTCTGTCCCTCTGTTAACTCATAGGAGCAAAATGGTTTTTATAACTTCATCTTGAGGTGAGGCATCTTCATTGATGCCTTTAGTATTTTGCTAAGTACATTAAAGAATATTACAAGGTTTGTCCTGTTTACCTAGAACATGTGATCTCAATGTTTGTTTTTTTGAGAATGTGAGCATATTTATTGGTTGTTGAAATAGTGGCAGGGTAGGCCGGGTGTGGTGGTGCACGCCTCTAATCCCAGCACTGGGGAGGCTGAGACAGGAGGATCGCTGTGAGTTCGAGACCAGCCTGGATTGCATAGTGAGTTCCAGGTCAGTCTCAACTACGTAGTGAGACCCTGCCTCAAAAAACCAAAAAAAAAAAAAATTGAAACTACAAAAGCCAGCATTTAAAGAACAGCAATATGTTAGCTGGGCATGGTGGCGCACACTTGTAATCCCAGCACTTGGGATTCTGAGACTAGAGAATCACCATGAGTCTGAGGCCAGTTTGAAATACATAGGGATTTCAAGGCCAGCCTGAACTACATGGTGTGAGATACTGTCTGAAAACAAACAACCCCCAAAAGAAAAACACTGATTGGCCAGATTCTATTGCAAAAGTGTTAATTTAAGACATAATCTAGAGGGCCAGGGATGTAGTTCAGTGGCACTGTGCCTGCCTAGCAATTGCAGGGTCCTGAGTTTGATCGTTGGTATGGGGGCTGGGGGGCGGTCCTAGAAATCTCAGGGCTTCACAATGGTGGCATGCATTCTCTGTCACAGGTTTGCAGATTAACTTGGTTAGTTCTCTAAACCTTTGGTTATATCCAAGACTTCTGTGTCTCATTCTACAATTCAGTTTTGAGGCGTGTCATTTAAAGTCTTTTCTTATAGTGAAAGGTAGAAGCTTTTCAAAGGACCATCAGAAATACGTGACATCTTTGATTTCCTTAGAGCTATTACACCATCACTTCTGACAGTGCTCTCTTGGCACCTTGAAGAAAATCACATTGCAGATCTAGCATCAGTAGAGTCCTGATGAATACTCCTCCACTCTGGACCCGAAAGTCTGAAATCGAGTTATTAACAGGACAACACTCTCTGAAAGACTCACTAGAGGAGCCCTAGCCTTCTTCTGTCTCTGTTGGCTTGAGGTTGTGTTTTGGTTGTAGCTGCGTGACTTCAATATCTGCCTCCATCTTCACAATATTTCTGACATTAGTGTGGAATCCTTTAGAAAGCTCTTGCAAGAAAATGTCATCATTGGCTTAGGGCGAAAAAAAGAGTGCTAAATCATTTGTGGTGCCATGTGGAACATAGAACCTTACACGCAGCCATGCACTTTCTTTCCTTTAGTTTACTTTGGGTGTTGGGGATCCAACCAGGGCCTTGAACATACCAGGCAAGCACTTTGCTGCTGAGCCACATCACCAATCCTAGGTTACATTTGCAGTGGTTTACTTGGGATATACTCTGACGTCTGTGCGCCTAGCATCTTGCTAAGGCCATAGGTGTAGAAATGTTTGCTGGTTTATGTGAAATAAGAGAAAAATAATTGGGGGTGATAAGGCAGAGTGTGTGTGTGTGTGTGTGTGTGTGTGTGTGTGTGTGTGTGTATTTTTGGCTACATGTATACACGCTGCAACCAAAGGATTACACAGTGAATTTTAAGTATATAAAATGCGCTAATATTTAAATGTGTTTTAAGATATGAGTTTACAAACCGGGCGTGATGGCGCACACCTGTAATCCCAGAACTTGGGAGGCTGAGGCAGGAGAATCGCTCTGAGTTCGAGACCAGCCTGGGCTACATAGTGAGTTACAGGTCAATCTCAACTACATATGAGACCCCGTCTCAAAAAAAAAAAAAAAAAAAAAACAAATTTA